CACACCAAAATAGTGCCTATTTGACTCCCATTTCATTTGATTATTGATTTTTTCATATCTTAAATGCTGATTCAATTTAGTGTCAATAGAGGAGTAAAATAGAGTCACAGAGAAGGAGTTATTCTAAACCTTTATCAAAAGGCAAATGTAGAAAGGCACAGAGGATGGATTTAGTGACTGAGGGCCCACTGGAATTTACCTAATAGATCTGCTGACTATGCCGTATAGTGGAGAAGACAGGCTGCAATCTCAAGACAATGCAGGTAACTCAATCTGAAATCCATCCAAAAGAGGACAACTTGCTCAGGTACAAGGACCCTGAAAAGTAACTCATCAAATGACAATAGGAACTGTGTGGACACTCCCTCTGTAACATGGACTAGGATATCGCTCTCCTATGTTAGAGGAGTTCCAGGCAGTGTACCATGCGCAAAGACTTATTGACAGTGGCTGACAACCTGCTGTCCATAAAGCAAGGCAGAGTGGGTAATTAACTGGAAAGAGTTGGCAGTAGACCTTTAATAACAATTACACTTTCTACATTTTACCACTCCCCGTTCCTAGTGACAACTTGCTCATCTCAGCGAATTCTCTCGTGTACTGTTTCTGGAACATATATTCCTAAATTCCTGTCTCCTTTATAAGACGCTGTATCTTGAGCAAAAGGCATATGTATTGTGCATGTATTGTGTATCTAATGTGTACATATATGCATATTCTCACAAATATGGTATACATTTATATTATGCATGTGTATGGACATATATCCACATATTGTAAAATGAAATCGCGTTTTTTTTTTTTTTTTTAGATGGAGTCACACTCTGTTGCCTAGGTTGGAGTGCAGTGGTACAAGCTTGGTTCACTGCAACCTCTGGTTCTTGGGCTCAAGCGATTCTCCTGCCTCAGCCTGCCAAGTAGCTGGGGTTACAGGTGCCCACCACCATGCCCAGCTAATTTTTGTATTTTTAGTAGAGATGGGGTTTCACCATGTTGGCCAGGCTGGTCTCAAACTCCTGACCTCAAGTGATCTGCCCACTTTGGCCTCCCATAGTGATGGGATTACAGGCTTGAGCCGTGATGCCCAGCCTGAGTTAGAATTTTTTTAAATGAATGGTTGGAGATCGAGCTAAACGCTATAAAATGGCAGGGCTCTAATCAGCTCAGATTGTTTACAGTAGAAATGTACCCGAAGTCTTTGCAGTTAAATGATGAACTGTCACTTTATTTATTTATTTATTTATTTATTTATTTATTTATTTATTTATTTATTTTTGATATGGAGTCTCACTCTGTTGCCCAGGCTGGAGTGACATGGAGTGATCTTTGCTTATTGCAACCTCTGCCTCAGCCTCCTGAGTAGCCGGGATTACAGGCACCCACCACCACATCCTGCTATTTTTGGTATTTTTAGTAGAGACAAGGTTTCACCATGTTGGTCACGCTAGTCTCGAACTCCTGAACTCAGGTGATCCACCTGCCTTGGCCTCCCAAAGTGCTGGGATTACAGGCTTGAACCACCACACCCAGCCTAAACTACCAGTTTATATCAGTTATAATTTTTTTTGGTTTTTTGAGACAGGGTCTCACTTTGTTGCCCAGGCTGGAGTGCAGTGGCACAACCATGGTTCACTGCAGCTTCAACCACCCGGGTTCAAGTAATCTTCCCACCTCAGCCTCCCAGATAACTATGACTTCATGTACATGCCACCATGTCCAGTTAATTTTTCAAAATTTTTGTAGGGATGGGGTTTTGTCACGTTGCCCAGGCTGGTTTCGAACTTCTGAGCCCAAGTGATCTACCTGCCTCAGCTTCTCAAAATGCTGGGATTACAGGCATGAGCCATCATGCCCGGCCTCAGTCATAACGTTTTTTTTTTTGAGATGGAGTTTCCCTCTTGTTGCCCAGGCTGGAGTACAATGGTGTGATCTTGGCTCACTGCAACCTCCGCCTTCCAGGTTCAAGCAATTCTCCTGCCTCAGTCTCCCAAGTAGTTGGGATTACAGGCATGTGCCACCACGCCTGGCTAATTTTTTGTATTTAGTAGAGACAGGGTTTGTTTCACCATATTGGTCAGGCTGGTCTCGAACTCCTGACCTCAGGTGATCCACCTGCCTCGGCCTCTCAAGGTGCTGGGATTACAGGCATGAGCCACTGTGCCTGGCAGTTATAACTCTTAAAGCAACACGAGGCTCTTGGTAGCCTGATTACAACCAGAAATAATTATCACTATTTTCCACAGTACACTCCCACGAAGTTTTTAGTCCTGCCATAATGTTGGTAGTAAAAAGAATTAACATTTTCAACTTGTTTTTTGGGGTTTTGTTTTGTTTAGGCAAGGTCTCAATCTGTCACCCAGGCTGGAGTGCAGTGGTGCAATCATAGCTCACTGCAGCTTCAATTTCCTGAGCTCAAGTGATCCTCCCATCTTAGCCTCCTGATAGCTGAGACTGCAGGCGTGCAATTAAAAAAAAATTTTTTTTTGTAGAGACTGGACCTCACTATGTTGCCTAGGCTGGTCTCAAACTCCTGAGCTCAAGAGATCCTCCCGCTGCAGCCTCACAGAGTGTTGGGATCACAGGCGTAAGCCACTTCACCTGGCCTTGATTCTTTTTACGCTCAATAAAAATGTAACTTTGTCTTCCTGTCATGGCCAGAGTTAAAATACAGTCAAATAATAAAGACCTCATAGAGTTAAAGCTCACAAAACTGATACTTAAAAATAATTTATTAAACAAGTATTGCAGGCACTACAACAGGTCTCAAGATATAGTGGTGAGCAAGAAAAACAGGATCTCTTGCTTTCATGAAGTTCAATTAGGAAGTCCTATTGAATGATGAGACATTTTTCTTTGGGGCAGCAAGTTACTTTCACTTAGTGGTAAAAGGGCCAAGAATAGTTCAGGAACTTCTCATCCACCTGTCTACCATTCTACACAGCAGCACAGATCTGGAAATGGCCCTAGGCCAGGCACGGTGGCTCACACCTGTAATCCCAGTACTTTGGGAGGCGTAGGTAGGGGGGTCACATGAGGTCAGGAGTTCAAGACCAGCCTGGCCAACATGGTGGAACCCCATCTGTACTAAAAATACAAAAATTAGCCGGGCATGGTGGTGCCAAGTCCCAGTCACTTGGGAGGCTGAGGCAGGAGAATCGATTGAATCTGGGAGGCAGAGGTGGCAGTGAGCCAAGATTACGCCATACTACACTCCAGCCTGGGCGAGAGTGAGATTGTCTCAAAAACAATAAAAGGCCCTATACAGCATCCATCCATGGAATTCTTTCAAATTCCCTATAGCTTGTGCTGTCACTTAGTTGTTATCTAGTACCTGGCAAGATGATATTAGGGGAACTCATGTTTAAGGAGTTCATGGAGACCTCCTTTTGTAAATACTGGCTTGACTCCTTAAGGTTGAAAATTTGGTCATTATTCTGTTTAATCTATTACTGATAAAAGTTATCACATAACCCAGTGTCTGCAAATGAACTATAAAAAACACCTTAGAAATACAAATGTATAATATAAATGTATACAAATATGGTATATGTTTACAAATATGGTATACATTTATATTATGCATGTGTATGGACATATATCTGCATATTGTAAAATGAAATAGAATTTTTTAGAAATACAAGGGGATTGCACTGTGACTTCTAGGTCAAAGTTAATTCTAGGTGAGAGGGGGGAGAAACAAATATGCTGGTTGTTTTCACCTAAATTCTGATCCTATGAACTTAAAATTCCTTCTCATGCAATCATTTTGTCAGGGAATTGATTACAATGAATGAAATCCAAAGTGCTCAGGTCACTGCCTCTTCAGTTTAGTGTTTACACTGTGTAGGAGACACCATCCAAGAGGCTGTAAGGGTGACTAAGCAAAGGGAAGACAACTTCTGTTGGGGAGGTGGAAGTAGAGATTCAATGGAAATAAGGGTATGCATCATTTAACAACAAAATCAAGAAAATGCTAAGGATGAAAGAGGGTACTCAACAATCATGCTGAAACAACAGGCATAAACTAGGACCATGCCAGCAAGCTAATAGGTAGATGACTCTACTTTGAATATTAAATCATACCAGGAGCCAACTTTCTTAAGAAAAACCATGGATATCTAGGATTACTTGACTAGTGTAAAATACAGTTGCCTGAAGAACTGTGTCATATCTAAATACTATCACAGGCCCCAGCTATCTCAAACTGATAAGAGTATTCTGCCTTTTAAAAACAATCATTATTGCCCACATTATTAGTAGTATTAATGTTAATAATATTGCACGCCGTGTCGAATAACTGCTTTTTGCTAGGTATGTGCACAGCATCAAGGGAGCCGGAGGGAGCTTTTACCCAACCTCATGAGGAATGAATGAAGGTAGGAATTGGCCAGGATAAAGTGGAAGAACTTCCAGATACACGGACCAAGGTAGAGCAAGGGGCAAGGGCACGGGTGACAACACAGAGCTTTTGAGAATCACAAGCAGTCCACTGGTCTTCCTGCAAGGCAAGATACACCCAAGGACGAGCTCATGCCTAGGGCATGGCCAGCCTTGGAAGGCTTCAACCAGTGAAGCAGAGTAGCTAATATGTTACTTAAATGAATCACTGACAACAGATAGTAGAAATTGTAAAGCCAGTTAATCATACATTAAGTATTTTAGGCTATTAGGCCAGGAATGGTCAAAACAATGTTATGGTAAGCCAAAACCAAACTCAGGGGAGCACAGAATGGGGAGGAGTGGGGGTTGTACCCTGCTATAAAACTCTAGGCTAGGAAATGCCAAGATTGTGTGTTATTAAGTCTAGGTGAAAAACTTAATCCCAGTAGTCCCAAATACCCAAGCTAGAGAGGTACAGGAAAGGACTGGTCAGCAACATCACTCCAGTGTTTTAAAAACTCAAAGAGTACATAAACTTGAGCTTATTTTGCCTGTTTTAGGAAATAAAGGAATATAATGGTACATGGGGATTTGAAAGAACCACGAACACATCAGAGAGATCTTCTGTTAGGTTGATTTATAAGTGCTGCTTTGGGCAGTTACACAGTTTGTTTACAATGAGGAGTTATTTGACTTTGAACATACTGTACATGGCAATTAGAAGTTGTCATGACAAGAGAAAACCATAGCTGGCCTGCCACAGCCAACATAAGAACCAGAAAACGGTAGATGAAATGAAGGAATAAAGGTGGGGTTTATTTCTTATTATAAAAGAAAAAAAATAATTCCTCAGCAGTCTTAACAAAGACATCAGGATACAAAATTACAAGTGTTTTGACTCCAGCCCTGTCCCCATCTCCTCCAAGAGCAGAGGTAGGAGACAGCTGAAGCAAACAAGCAATTCTGTAAAAATTACCTAGAAACCCTATAAATTTGATTAAAATCTAAACTTCTATAATTTTGCTTTTTAAAAAATTTAATATCAAAAGGCCTGCTTTAGTGACATGCTGTTGCTACCAGAAAATAACCCCAATACCCCCTCTGTCAGTAACATGCTCAAGTTGACCAGCCAACTCTTATCTCTAAACCCATGTGGACAAGTGTCTGTCTTTTAAACCAAAGCCACAGAGATCAAGTGACTGCTAGAAACGTGTTAACTAATCCAGTGCCCACCTTCTCCAGAGGGTGGGCAGGGCAGAAACCCAGAAGTGGTCATGAGGACCTAACCCCAGAGCACCATCTTTCTAAGCACCACCTCCCTCACTCCCTACTCAAAAGGAGATGCTTGGTTTCTAATCCGGACTATTCGTCTCAAATCTGGTGCCCCGTGACCTGGATGGTTTTTTCCTTTAGCAAAACACACATAATCCACAAAACCATACATATAATTTTTTGTCTTTACATTTAAATATAAAAATACTATTCTGCTTTGTGTGATAAATCAAGGACCAAGCAACATGAACCTTTTCTTCTTTCAAGGTAGGGATATCCATCAGTTTATACTGAGCTTCGTGTTCAGAGCAGGGCATTTAGTCCCAAGCCAGGCTAGTCCCACAAGCAAGAGACCAAAGCCATTCTCTCTGATTCCCAACCCCTACCTTCTCTCCTAATTCCCACTTTTAATAGAAAAGTTGGTTATAACTTCTTAAGAAAAGTTTCCACCACAAGGGCAAGTCCTAACCTAACCAGAGGAAGTCAGGTCTTCCCCTTTCAGCTACCTCGAAGAAAAGTCCCCCTCCTGCAAACGTGTTCTGTCCGGATAGCTATGCCTATTGGACAGGTGCACCCCATTAAATGGAAGCAGTGGTTATGTTTCCCCACCCTCTTCCCCACTAATGCACTAAAAAGCTTCAGTGATAGGGAAAAAAAGGAGGGTAGGTGTGAAGAAATTAATAACTTGACCCATCTCTATCCCAGCCAAACAAAGAAAGCAAGATTAACTGGGCACAAGGAATGAAAAAAACGACCTTAATATTCCACCCTTTGAGTTACAATTGGGACAACTGGGAGAGGGGGAAGAGTTGGAGTGGGATGAAGAACTAGGAGGGGCTTGACAGCTAGAGGTCTAGTCCACTTAGTTTTTGTACTGGAAGGGCTCATCGCCGGTTTCATTGAGAAGACACGTGCGGATGAGGGCTTCTGTCACCGAAAAGGGGTCACAGTTGGCAGAGGGGCGACGGTCTTCAAAGTAACCCTTCTTCTCCTGGCCAACAGTCCGGGGAATGCGTATGCTGGCGCTACGATTGGCTACACCAGCAGAAAAGTCGTTGATGTTGGAGGTTTCATGGAATCCAGTTAGGCGTCGGGCATTGTCCAGGCCTCCCTTGGGATCATAGGCGCGGATGTGGTACTGGTGCCGCTTGCTTAGTTTCTCAATGGCCTCCTCGATGTACCTAGAAGAAACAGAAAAGATGGCAGTCCAACCTTGTCTCCAGGTATGGAGCCAAGAATGAAGTGCACCAAAATATGATACCAGTGGTACAAACACTTCATGAAGGCAGTGGCTTCGTCTTCTTACCTGTGTGTCTCAGTGGTCAGAACAGTGCCCGACAAGCAGTAGAAAGTATTTGTTGAAAAGACCAATCATTTGAAACTTTCTCCCCCTCATAAGCATTAAGCTTATCCACATGCCTGTATTATTAACTAATTTAGTTCTAGAAGATTTTCAAATGCATGAATTTGTCAACTTTTCCCTGTCACGACATATATATGTCACAAATATATATTATATATCAATGTTTATATAATGATATATGACTAATAATTATTTGTTATAATTTATATAATAATTATCACTGTGAATCAGAAGTATTACTTGGTATTTTTCAAATAGGAACAAAATGAGAATTTGAAGTCAAGTGTCAACAGCTAAGGTACGTCCAGACTGAGAAGTCAAGTTTACTTAACTCTGGTAAATATTTGCAAGTCATCCTGCAAAGGAGACTTTGCTGAGAGATTGATAAGTCTCTTCCCAAGTTTTCTGCCACAGGAGATTAAAGATGGCCCCAGCAGAAGGTACTCACTTCAGACCATTCTCCTCCCGCATGGCCTTGGTGCTGAAGTTGGTATGGCAGCCTGCACCATTCCAGTTCCCAGGAATGGGCTTAGGATCAAAGGTTGCTATCACTCCAAAGTCTTCACACACACGATGCAAGATGAAACGGGCCACCCAGAGATGATCTCCCATGCTGATTCCTTCACAAGGTCCAATTTGAAATTCCCACTAGAAACGAGAAGCTTGGTCATTAAAAAAAGCCAACTGCTCACTCCAACTCAGAAGCTCCTAAACCTGTTCTCTTCTCACCTCTACTCCAACCCATTCTTAGGTTTTGGGTTAGTGAGTGGTGTATCAGCAGCCCTTACTAGCAAAAGTCCTATATGCACCTACCTGTCCTTCATCATTGATGGACTGGAGCTATATTTACCTGGGCAGGCATGACCTCGGCATTAGTCCCCGCAATCTTGACTCCAGCATACAAGCAGGCCCGGTAATGGGCCTCCACGATGTCCCTGCCATAGGCTCTGTCTGCTCCCACACCACAGTAATATGGACCTACAAAAGCATCAAGACAAAACGCTAAGAGTCAAGAAATCCAGAGAATCCCAAAGTCAGAGATCAGAAGGCCCTTAAGCCTTGCCCTCTTGAATCACTATCCTTGCCTTCATCTGTAGGTACAGGGCAGGGGAGGGGCAACAGGGGAGTTCCTCTTCACCTGTGGGGCCAAAGCTTCCCCCTAAAACCTTACTTTATACATTTATATCCATTTTTGGACTTTGGTGATATGAGGGCTGTTTTGCCTTTACTGTATTATTTTGCTTCTTGATTCAGAAAGTCACTCCCATCCCTGGGAAGGGGCATTCTGGAACAGTTAAGACACTTCTGGGAATTTCACCTCTAACCCAAGAAGACTTACCCTGGGGCCCCGGGAAGCCGTTGGAAGGCCAACCAAAGGGGTGCCCATCTGTCCCCATGAGGGTATATTCCTGCTCCATGCCAAACCAGGGGTGCTGGTTGCTCACCATGTCCATTATCCGTTTACAGGTGTGCCTCAAATTGGTCTCTAGAAAAAAGAGTGAACAATACGCCATCAGGGATCTGATGCTGAATACCGATGCTGATGGGAGAACAGTCTTTGGATTCTATACAACTGAGGTGTGCACTATGGGCTGAAATGACCCAGTATAGGCCTTCTTGGGATCACTGAGTCACTGAGTCAGAAAAATGAGAGAAGCTATAACTGTACATCTGTAGGAAGACTCTGCAAGACTTCAGTTTTAACTAAACTCAGTTACAACCAAGTCACATGAGAATGGATTTAGAACAGGGCAACTTTCACCTTATCTGCATTCTGGCCACCTCCCAAGCACCAAATGCCAGGCACTTAACCCTCTATTCACAAGACAGCTGCTTCTGGTTGTTAGATTTATTCTTCATTTCTCAGACACTTGGAGCCATTCTATAGTTTTTGAGAATCATTTGTCCATTGGTTTACATTTGTCCTGGCCTACATTCCAGGCAGGAAGGCTGTTACTGGGGACTCCAAGACCGGCAAACAGATCTGGACAAATCAAATGCTATTTTATGCTACCAACAGACAAGACCATAGAAAGATGGGCCATATTATCTCTTCCTCAAAGGAGAAGTTCAGGGGAGAGGCTCAATCACTCAGATTCTTAAAACAGTCATGAAATAGCCTAGTCTTCCCAATACTGATTGCAGAATGTCTCCTCCCTCCCCTTCACAGCATTCACAGATTGAGGAGAGGAATCTATAGCTGTGCTATACATACCTGCAGGCCTTCGATTGTACTTGAAAACTTCACACAACACCAGCTTGTTCGGGTCCTTACGGAAGGGGTCCCGAAACATGGCAGCAGGCACGAGATACATGTCACTGTTGGAACCTTCAGACTGTAAAGTACTAGAGCCATCGAAATTCCACTCAGGCAACTCTGGGGCAAAAAGAGGGAAAATTACATTTAAAACGTACAGGAGCTTTCCAAGCAATGCAAATACAGCCAGCCCTTCACTCACCTTCCCATCTCTAAAGATCTCTTTTCCAGGAAGTTATTAAGGCATAAATGCCATCATTAATATGTATACCCTGGCACCTGTACCTGATCCTACAGCCCTTCCTATCTGAGTTCCAAGTAAGACCACTGTACCACTTCCTTAAATACATCAGACACTCCCTTCCCAAATGTCTTCCAGGAGACAAACTGAAGCATTCTGTTACCATTACCAGCCTATCAGTCACTTAAAATACTGAGATAGTGAAGGATTCTGATTCTTCCATTAGGCAATGTGTCGCTTCCTTCTTCTCATGCCCCCAGTGTATTCTGGCAAGTAATGTCCTTATTTGATAGATGAGGGAACAATTAGAAGGATGACTTACTCAAGGATGTTCCCTTATTACCTATCCACCTTTCCCACTGTTTTAAAGACTGTTTTGTCTCTCTAGCTGACTGAGTTCTCTGAAGGCAGAGACCAGACCCTCACTTTGTATCTTCAGTGTCTGTGAACTATCTGCCACATAGCAAGTACACAATATAGGCTTTGTATTATGATCATTCACTTATTCAAAAAGGAAAAGTAAGCTATCCTAAACTAGGTAGAAGGTGATACTTGGCCCCTTTCTGGAAAAGGGAAGACTATGGCTTGTTTTAGACTGAAAAATGAAGGTCACAACTGTAATCTAACTGTAGCTCCTAGAGGGATAAGCAATTAAGACAGTTTAAGAATTTCCAAAAGTGCCATCAACTAAAAATCAGTCCTATTTGAAAACCATTTTAGAGCATTTGCTTCACATCTAGAAGCCCAGTGATGTGAGTATTAAGTACAGTTTTCTAAGAGTTTGTAAACTAGATGGCATTCTCAGGTTAGAGCAGTGGTTTTCTGAGGGTGCCTTAGAGTCAGGTAAGTGGGGATGCCCAGGTCGGCAATCTCTAAGCCCCATGCCAACTCTCCATAAACCAGACTTAGTTTTTCTTCAATACACTGGCCTACATGCACAATTCCATTTAAATAAAGGGTTCATTGTTGCTCTGCTTTGAGGCAGTGTAGGAGCTTAATGTTGACTGAATGAAGTCTGGAAAGCCCTGCCTTAGAAAAGCTTTACAAACAGAATAAAGAGGCCTAATCCAGAGGCTGAGTCAAAGGCCCACCCCTCTGCAGATCCCACCCAGCGTGTGCTCCACTCCACATTGCTGTCTCACCTTCCACACACTTGGGCTCACTGTCCAGGGTCCGGGTCTTGCAGCGCAGTCCTTCTCCAGTACCATCGATCCAGATATACATGGCCTGGACTTTCTCACCCTGAGGCAGGGACATGTACACCTGCTTGATGCCTTTATTTAAGTGGGAACTTGCTGAGGTGGTCATGGTGGAAGGTGTTCTGGAGAGAGAAAAAAGATAACATTGTTAACGCCCACTCCAAACTGATTCCCTGCAAAAATGGCTTCAGAGGGACAACTGAATCAAAAGTTGTGAATCAAGGTGTAAGTGCCAACTCGTTCCCCTGTGGAAGTCAACACACAGAAAGTTATGTTTACTCACTCTTTCAGGGGGATTAGTTTTATAGTAGGCGAAAATCTCCTTTATAATAGGCTGTAAAACTGATCACCACCTTTTGAAGCAATTAACACAGATGCCTGCTAAAGAAAAGATCAGGACCTTGGTAGTAACTCAATGCCTCTTGCATCTCTGAGCTCAAAGGCTTAAGTTCCACAGCTACTGCAGATCCCAGGCTTCCAAGTTGGAACTTACACTTGTGAGGACTGTCTATTCCTTCAGTGTAGCTGAGGTAACACTAAACTATCCAAATACTAATCTATCAGAGGAAACAAACCAAACCAATACACAAATTTACAAAACATAGAACTTCTTCCAATACAAGTAAAATCCAGCCACAGAACAGGCTTGGCTTCCAAGGTTTCTGTTTTTCTCTTTGCCTTTCATCCTAGCTGTGGTCTTAATTGAAACCCACAGCCACTCCCCACCAAAAGAAAACCCACTACACATTTAGATTTGATGAAACAAGGTTACAATATATTTTTTTTAAAGGCTAGCAGTTTCCTACAACAAAAGCTGATTCAAACCAGATTCTAAGGGGCATGCTGCCATACTTTCCATAGGTCTCACGCAAAGTTTCACTTAAGATAGTGAGCAAGAATCACAACATTATGGAATTCCACAAGAAGACTTCAAGTAATTAGGAAATTTCCACTTCGAAATAAAAAAGATCTGGAATTTTAAAAGCCTTAAGGCATACTAATAACTGCCAACCACTACCACAAAACCTCTGAAAGAACAGAAACTCTGAAGCCACAACAGCCGAAGAGGAAACGTTCCTCCCTCCGTGGCCCAGGATGGCTAGAAAGGGAACACATTGTTCTCCTCCAACGACTAGGGCAACGTTCTGAAGTACAGTGGCAAAGTTTCTACGGGCAACCGTCCATGTTTGCCCAGCTGAAAACATAACTGCTTCTCCCTCTGACAGCCTCACCACCCTTCCCCTTGGGGAAGACCAACACCCCAATATTGCCTCTAGAAGATTCAGTCGGCCAAATCCTACTTCCCACCTCCGTCCCAGAACCCTTCAGCTCCCGCTAAAAGCTACAACCCACCTAGGCGGGCGGATCACCTGAGGTACGGAGTTCGAGACCAGTCTGGCCAACATGGTGAAACCCAGTCTCTCCTAAAAATACAAAAATTAGCCGGGCCTGGTGGTGCCCGCCTGTAATCCCAGCTACTCGGGAAGCTGACACAGGAGAATCGCCTGAACCCTAGAGCTAGAGGTTGCAGTAAGCCGGGAGCTTGCACCACTGCACTCCAGCCTGGGCGACAGATCGAGACTCTGTCGGTGGGGGGGGAAAAAAAAAAAAGCTACAACCCAATTTCTCAGCTGTCCTCTCCAACCTGTTACACCACCAATATCATGCACACTTTGTCCTAAGCCTGTTTCGGATCTCCTGCTCTTTTCCGTGAGCCAGTTGGATGCCAGCACTCTATCAACTGCTGCTGCCGTGGCGCCAAGTTTATGTGGGGGGCAACGGATTCTGAAGCTTTTAGCCGTTTCTGCAGCTCTCACCAACTCCGGGGTCGTCCTCCCTGCCCCCTCACTCACCCCAGCCACAGAAAGTCAAGCGTATTGTTAGGGTTGCCCTCCTTAGCCCTTCTCTTTTTGGAGTGGCGTTCGCGCCTCTCCTCTTTCTCAGACTCAAGCTGGTCCAAGCACCGGAGCTTTCTGGGCGAGGGCGATGGAGAAGGGGACAGACGGCGGTCGGCCCGGGGGGTGTCGAAACAGGCCGGTTGGTGGGTTAAGGTCTTAATCTTGACTCGAGATTTCTCCCCGGAGTTCACGGAGTAGGCGACGAAGCCGAAACAGTTGGAGGGCGACCCGGAGGAGTCTGACTTCTCGTCGTCTTCATAATTTTCATTGGTTGCTTTCTTCGTGAACTTGCGGCTGGGGGAGGATCCCCGCTTCCCGCCCCCGAGGGAGTTGTAATTATCCACTTTGAGAGCAGCCCCTTCCCACTGAAATGTCCCTAAAGCGGGCGCCCCGCCCCTCGGGCCCCCGTCTGAATCTCAGGGCCTCACGGAGGTGGCCATACCCCACCGCCGAGGGGTTGCGGGGTCCCCGGGGAGGGTGGGGGCGCAGGC